GGTCGCGGAACTCGCCAGGGGTGCCCTCTCTCTCCATCTTTGTTTATAATAGCAATAGAACCATTGGCGGCAGCCCTTAGGGCGAGTGCCATGCAAAGCATTCTACGTGGCGGCTGTGACAACAGAGTGTCGTTGTATGCGGATGATCTATTGATCTTTATGTCGAACCCAGGTAACTCCATGTCTCCAATTCTATCTTAGCTGAGGGACTTTGGACAGATATCCGGATATAAGCTTAACTTTGATAAAAATGAAATCCTTCCAATTAACTCAGCTGCGACGGCATACCCACTGCCCTTTAAGGCTGTCTCGCAAAGTTTTAAATATCTGGGTATCCATGTAACCAAGGACTTCTCAAAACTTTTTAAAACTAACTTTGACCCTCTGTTGGAGCAGTTGGCTCAGGATTTGCAGCGCTGGTCTATGCTGCATCTTTCTTTAGCAGGAAGGATTAGCTGTATTAAAATGAACTTTAAATGAACTTTTTGCCAAGATGCCTGTATCTTTTTCAATGTGTACCGGTGTTCATTTCAAAAAGTTTTTTCAGACTCTTAACAGTTCTATTTCACAGTTCTTATGGAACAAAAACACTCCCAGAATGCACGAGAGCCTTCTACAGAAAAGTAAGGACCTGGGGGGCCTTGCCCTTCCAAATTTTCAGTACTATTATTGGGCTGTCAATATTCGCACAATGCTATTTTGGTGTCAGACCAAATCTACACAGCCAATTTGGCTGCGACTGGAGGAGGCCACATCTGACTCTGCCTCTTTGCTCTCCCTCTCCTGTGTCTCCCTTCAAACGTTAGCCCGCATTTGTACACTAGCAATACTATAGTTAAAAACTGTCTTAAGATTTGGTCTCAAATGAGGTGTCATATTAAAACCCAAGGTATACCTTTGCACTCACCGTCTGACCAGAATCCGCTTATTCCTCCATCCCTGTTAGATAAAACTTTTGTGGTATGGAGGAGCCACGGGCTGATCCATGTGAAGGACTTTTTTGTGGATGGCGTTTTGGCCTCATTTACACAGCTGCCGCTTAAATACCACCTGCCAAATTCACATTTTTCCCGGTGTCTGCAGGCCAGGGACTTTATCAGAAAATATTTCATGGGTTGTCCCATTGTACCTGTGAACAGTATGCTAGATGATATGATGGGAGAGTAAACCCTCCCAGAAAGGAGCGATATCCAAACTTTATAATTTTCTTCTCTCCATGTTTACGACGTGATCCCATCACCTCCGTGTTGCTTGGTCCAAGGAACGTAACATGGAGATTAATAACAGCCAATGGGAATCAGCCCTAAGGCGTATTCACTCCTCCTCAATTTGTGCAAGGCACTGCATACTTCAATGTAAGGTAGTGCATAGGATTCACTGGTCCAGAAGCAGGTTGGCTCAAATATTTCCAGGTACAGACTCCAACTGTGTAAAATGCAATCAGGGTCCAGCTAATATTACCCATATGTTTTTAACTTGCACTGCCCTGTCAAAATTCTGGGACTCTATTTTTAATTCACTCTCACTTATTGTGTCTTGGAGGGTTCCATGATCCCCACTGATGGCTTTATTTGGGGTGCTACCCGCTGGTCACTCCTTGCCATCTCACTTTGCCTTCCTTACATTATTGGCAAGGAGAGTTATCCTGAGGAGTTGAAAAGACCCTCACCCACCGACCCACTCCCGCTGGATTAAAGATGCCCTCTATTTTATGAAACTAGAGAAAATAAGGTTCATCCTGAGGGGCTTGGAAACTGACTTTGCCAAAATTTGGAGGCCGTTCCAAGACCATGTGACTTCTGTGAATTTCGACATGGACACTTAACCTCGGCCTTGTAGAGCTATCGCTGGCATAGCCACACATTGGTTGCCTATTTGTTACTGCAGCGCATAAGTGTTTTGTTTAATTTAATTTAATTTTTCTTTCTTTTCTCTTTCTTTCTTTTATTTTATTTTAGTGTGTATGTATGTGGATGTGATGTAACTGTGGAAAAAGTTATAAATAAATCATATACAAAAAAAAAAAAAAAAAAAAAACGTCATTGACACAACCTGCCATCCCTCAAAAGCTCTCCATTCACAACAGGTTAAGACAAAACATTTTAAACATTTAAGAAGATTTAACAAAGTAAAACAATCCGTTTCCTCGTTCAACACCACGCCTCAGGCTGACAAAAACATGCTTTGCAAAAACTCACAAAATCTGAAAAAGTACTGAAAACCTACAGGACACATAATGTAATAATAAAATACATAATGGGTTCATTTATGAGTGTTTAATGTCTCTGAGCAGCTCTAGAGTCAAATATTTATGCCGCAGATCAAGGGTGTCAGAAATAACACCAACTGAAATGTTTAACTTAGTTTGTTGTTTTATTTGAACCCAGTGGTTCATTTCTGAAATGTTGGAGAATGAATCAAGTTCTGTTTGATGCAGAAAATAATAAAACATAACAAATTCTACACTTTCAATAATATTTAAGATGTGTGTTTTATTATTTCTAATAACACCATCAGAAGGCTGTGGGCTGGATTAGGATTAAATTACCCAGCTGATGGATCTCCTTCACTAACCAGCTAACTACAAACCTTTCCACTAACCAGGGTATCTGCAGGTTTAAGGGAGCCAAATTTAAGACTTTTTAAGACCTTTTTTAAGGCCAATTTGACCAAATTTAAGCTTTTTTTAAAATTCAAGCTATAATTTCCAGCTATTGCCTGGAATCGGTCCTAACCACGTCGCGAACGTGGGATTAGCCATACAGTTACCATTAAACTTGCACCTCCCCATGGCGCAAGCTCCCACTAGCTTAACCAGCTAATGTGCTCATCTAAAAATATCCCCCTTTCACAACCAACTGAATGTGTACGGTTCCGCTTACGCCAACATCATACACAAAAAATGCTGAACACTAACTAGAAATTCACGAAAATGTCATAGAAATAAAGTAATCTAGTTTATTCGGTCGTTGGTAATTTAAGACCTTTGGAAACTGTATTTAAGGATTATTTGTCATTTTTAAGGATTTTCAAGGCCTTAAATTTGGAAAAGTAAATTTAAGACTTTTTAAGACTTTTTAAGGACTCCCGGATACCCTGACTAACCTGTCCTGTGTAACCCTCATGTCCATGATGTCTCTGGAGGAGCAGATAGGAAATAAGACCTCCTGTAACCTAAAATGAACCAAAGCTTCCTCCCAGTTTCTCTTTCAGCTGAAATTAATATTAGTTTATCATCATGAAACAAAAGAATAAAGTGGAACAAGAACTTCTATCTTGTCTTTCGCTCTCCTTTTAACTTCTCCGTGTCCCCAAATAAAAGAGACAGACGATCACGCTGCAGCCACCGTCACTGACCCCTCCCCAAGACCGGATCTTCCGACATCACAACACTCAGTCTGACTGAGCTCTTCCAGGAGAAATTAAATTATGAAATCTTCTCTCTCTCTCTCTCTCTCTCCCTCTCTCTCACCCACTCAATTAACATAATTCACGGCACAAATCCGGTTTGGTCTCAGGTTACAACTCTAACGCTCAGCCCTGCAGAACCACATAAAGGTGGAACCATTTGGTAAATGTGGAGGACACTCACTCTGACAGATTTGGATGCTGCGCTGGTGCCGCCGTTAAAAAAACAAAACTACATTCCACTATAATCGATTATGGCGTACTCTTCTACGATGCAGAATCGTTTATGTCCGCATCCCGATGCATCGATTTTTTGATTATTTTCCTCAGCTCTAGTGTGTGAATGGGTGATTGTCTTGTAAAGCGCCTTGGGGGGTTCCAGGACTCTAGAGGGCGCTATACAAAATACAGGCCAATACCATTCTAGAATGTAAAAGAAGGATAAAGAATGCCAGGCAGACACAGTAGATGCGAAACTGAAAGTAATCGTAATCATAAGAACAGCATTACTAAAGGGGTAAAAACTTTACTTCTTAAATCAGTACAAATGTTTGTTTTTTATGAAGCAAAGAGCAAGTTGCCACATGAGGGTTGAAACGTAACCGAGGTTCACCTGATGGCCTGTTTCAGCAGTGTTGTTCTGATGACTCGGCCGAAAACCAAAAATGCACTTAATGGTCATTTTCGGCTGAAATTTTTCGGTGCATCTTTACCCAAAAATAGAGTTTTGTCTGCAATAGGAACCGGATCTCTGCCCAGTCTTCCTGAGTTTAATCGGCAGAAATGGTTGGATTTTACCTTCACAAGCTCTCAAAAAGAGAGTCAGAGTGTGAGCGTGATTTTGCCGACTGCTTGATAAATTCTGCCAGTACCGGAGTGGGTTTTCAAATGGGATTCCTTCTTAAAACCGGCGCCATTCAAGCATTCAAACCACCCAATAGGCCAGTGCGGTGAGTACATCAAAATGCTACTAAGCACGAGCCGCTAGCTGAATGGTTCTAAAAGTTGTTCTGCGAGTGTCAGGGACGGACTGGGAATATTTTCATCTCAACCGCTCTTCACTCGTCCAAGCAGTGTGTGCATTAATGGCCCATTAACGGCTTTATCCAACAAAGAAATGGGCTAGGCAGCACTCTGCGTGGTTTAGCTGCCAACGCTACTCACTTCTTTGCCATGGCGCATCGTGCGTTACTGGGGATCTAGGGTTACATTGTGAAAAGGGTAGAACTGGAAGAGAGTTTTTGTGGAATACAGACGTTTTATTTCCATGTTTATAAAATGTTTTAAGAAAATAACATAATTCAGAACTACTGATGTCTCCATAGAGCTCATGGTAATATTTTAATCATCCTTGTTCTGTAAGATTTAAATAACACAATAAAGGTCCTTTAAATTGGTCTGTGCGCCCCAGGGCAGCTGTGGCTACAGCGTAGCTCATCACCATCAGTGTGTGAATGGATGAATGATACACTGTGGTGTAAAGCGCTTTGGAGTCCTCATACTCTGAAAGGTGCTATACAAGTGCGGGTCATGTATCATTTATTTGTCCGTCGGCACAAATGCCGGTAGCAACATGTGCAGCTGAAACTCACCGAGATTACCCTGTAGCCCCAGCCCGTCAGCGCCAGAACCTGCTGGAAGAACACCTCTGCTGTCCCACTGACTGGAGGGAGGAAGATGATGGGACACCTGATGCTCTTTGGGCCAGCATCATACAGAGACCACACCTTACTGTCGTCATCATCAACAATAATCTGAAGTAGACAGAAACCAAGAACAGCTCAAATCCTGAAGCCTCTTAAACAAGTTTCATTCCTAATTTGTCAAGTTCACAAAATGTGGAACGGGATGTAAGGTTAGAATCAGCGGCGAATCGGAACATATTTCAAGGCCCTGGCCGACAAACGGTCCACATGACTATTACTGTCAGGCTCGGAGAAAATTCGGGTTGTTTTTGTGTCAGTCGGTAATTCTGCAACAGTGACTCTAACGCAGCACTAATTGACAGACAGCATCACAGCGTGAAATCCAGCTTTACACCACAGCGTGACCCGATTCTGTTCAGGAGGTCGCATTTCAGGCTCTCTTCATATCATATGTTACTGACTTTGATGTTATAATAACGATCACACACTAGGAATATTATAAAGCGTCTATATAGGACGGTTTCTTTTGTATATTATCTGACTTTATAAACTCCAACAACAATGTGCTTCTATTTTTTTTTCAGGCTAAATCAACCCAAGACGTATTTAGTTCATGGACAAAGCAGACTACAAGAAATCAGGAAATAATAATTTTTTTTAGGTTTGTCAGTGATGTAGATCATAAATCAAATCTGATAGATAATGGAGTTGACTCAGAAATTAATGGTTGCAGCAACACCCACCTGGACTGTGAATATTATATTGTAGAGGACTTCAAAGTGAGTATGTGTGGATTTTCATTCATACACTTTAACAGCAGAAGTCTCTACAACAATTTATCTAAAATCTCAGATTACCTAAATGAGTTCAAGGAGAAATTTACAGTAGTTGCAATTTCAGAAACCTGGATCAAAGATGGAAAAGACTTCTTGACTAAACTGGATGGCTATGAAATGTTTACTCAGAGCAGACAAAACAAAAGAGGGGGTGGGGTAGCACTTTTTGTTAGGACTGGTTTTGATTGTACGATACTAACAAATATGACCTTCATTGTTGAGAATTTGATGGAGTGTAAAAATTAAGTGTAAAAAATCCAGAAACATCATTATAAGTTGTATGTATCGTAGTCCTGGTTCTTCTATAGATCAGTTTAATGAACGTATTGAAACATTATTTGGGCAATGTAGGAACAAAATGACTTTAATTTGTGGTGATTTTAATATTGATTTGTTTAAATCAGATGATAATACTAAATTAGCTGAATTCATCAATTTAATGTTTAGATTAGGTTTCTTTCCGTTGATATTGAGACCAAGCAGGATAACAGCCGATAGTGTTACACTGATTGACAATATATTCACAAATCAATCTGACATCAAGACAAAGAATGGCCTTTTTTAACTGATATCACTGATCATTTACCGGTGTTTACTGTGGTGGAAATGATGAGAAGTGATGAAACATCTCTGGAAAATGTAAATTATACCACAACTAGGAAAAAAACTACTGTTACAATTGAAGCTCTGAAATATGAACTGTTTTGCTCTGATTGGACTGATGTTTATGTTGATGATGTTAATAATTCTTATAATGCATTTCTTGAAATATTTTTGGGAGCTTATGATAGACATTGTCCTCTAAAATATCATAAGCAAAACTTTAAAAAAAAGGTCCCCACCCTGGATTGTTAGGGGATTGGAAAGGGCTTGCCAGAAAAAGAACTCACTGTATCTGGATCTTATAAAAAGTCCAACAAAGGAAAAAGAAAAAAGGTATAAGGAATATAAAAACAAATTAACTACAATAATAAGGCAGCAAAAAAATGAATATTATGATCAGCTTTTCCTAAAACACAAAAATAATATTAAAGGTACATGGAATGTGTTAAATAAAATAATAAGAAATACAAAAGAAGCAGGTATAGATATTCACAATAAAAATGGAAAGAACATTGCAAATGAGTTTAATAAATATTTTGTGAATGTTGGCCATAATCTAGCTAAAAAGCTGCCAGAAGTTGACATTAACCATGAAATAAATAAAAATAATAATACAATGTTTTTGAGCAGTGTAAGCCAAAGTGATGTGATCTAAGCGGTACATAGTTTCAAAAGTAAAAAGTCCTTAGATTTTCATGGGATAGATATGTCTCTCATCAAGGAGGTTATCCATTGCATTGCTGAACCTTTTACTTATATTTGTAATAAATCCTTTTCAAGTGGCACAGTCCCTGAACAAATGAAAATAGCCAGAGTTATTCCTATTTATAAAAGTGGCGATAAATTATTAGCTTGTAACTATAGACCCATCTCTTTACTGCCACAGTTTTCAAAGATACTTGAGAAACTTTTTGTAATTAGATTTGAAGCATTTACCAACAAGTTTGATCTTTTAAATGACCATCAGTATGGGTTTAGGAAGAATCGTTCAACCTCATTAGCAGTTATGGATTTAGTAGAGCAGATTGCAACAGCAGTGGATCAAAAACTTCATGTAGTGGCTGTCTCGATTGACTTGAGTAAGGCATTTGATACAATTGATCACACATACCTGCTCAAGAAATGTGAATACTATGGTCTTCGTGGTAAAACCATTCAATGGCTTGAAAGTTAATTAAGCAGTAGATTTCAATATGTAAATGTTAATGATATAGATTCACAGCTTGAAAGAGTAATATGTGGTGTACCGCAAGGCTCGGTGCTAGGACCGAAATTATTCAACCTATACCTGAACAACATCTTTTCTGTATCGTCTCGGTTAAAATTTATTATGTTTGCAGATGATACAAATTTCATTTGTATGGGAAAAGATATGAGTAAATTATTACAAGAGGTTGAAAACGAATTGGGTTCAATTAAAAAATGGTTTGATTACAACAAGCTATCACTAAATGAAAATAAAACCAAATTTATGATATTTTCAAGGAACAGGCACAATGACGGTGCTAATCTGTATTTAAATGGAGTCCCAATTGAACAAGTACATGAAACTAAATTCCTAGGTGTGATTATTGATAGTAAACTCAGTTGGAAACCACACATCGAATATATCAAACGGCAAGTGTCTAAATCTATTGCTATACTTTATAAAACTAGTGATGTACTAAATAAAAAAAGCCTTGTTTTTAATTTATAGCTCTTTAGTTATGCCTTATTTGTCTTACTGTGCAGAGGTTTGGGGAAATGCAGGTAAAACGTGTGTTGACACTGTATTTAAATTACAAAAAAAGGCGATTAGAATAGTTAATAAATTGGGATACCTCGAACCAACTCATAATCTGTTTAGTCAAACTAAAACGCTAAAATTAGGAGATATTATTAAAGTAAAAATCTTAGAGATTCTTCATAAAGTAGTTAATGATAATATCCCAAATTGCATAAAAGTTTATTTCAAACCAAGAGATGATCATTATAATCTCAGAGGTGTATTTATGTTTGAATGTGTAAAAGCCAGAACTAATGTGAAATCAAGATGTGTTTCCGTTGTTGGTGTAAAATTGTGGAATGAATAAGATGATGATTTGAAGAAATGTACTTCTTTACTAAAGTTTAAAGCAGATGTAAAGTGTCACATATTTACAGGGTATGAAAAGTATGTATAGACATTAATGAATTTTCATTGTGGATATTTATATTGGGGAAAATAAAAGAAATGTATATTGGTTATGTATCTTAGGTGGAAAATAGAGTAGGCTAAAATAAGCATTGCTTCTGCCTTTTCCTTTTTTGGTTTAAATTCAAATTGTTAATATTGTTTTGTTTGAAAAGAAAAATTTTATGTTAATGCTATAAACCAAAATAAAGACCGAAAGAAAAGAAAGAAAAAAAAAGAAAGAAAATGAATATTATCATAATATACCGAATATGTATCAAACCGAGCTCTTCAAAACACTGAACCGAATATGAGTTTAGCGTACCGTTACACCCCATGCAGTAATATTACTACCAAGCTTGGTAGCATGAAAGCAGCATAGCTATGCCACCACGGCGCTTCCATAAGACACCCCGTGGTGGCAGTATTACACTGATGTGTTGGCACAGTGTGTCTTATGAAACGGTTAGTAACTTTGTTTCTCTCAGTAGGAGAAGAACAGACTACCCTCCAGTCGGCTGAGAGTGAATTCTGTTTCAGTAGAACCTTCCTTCCAACACGACGGAGACACGAGATTGTTTTGTGATTATTTAGTTTGGTTATGCAAATTCTACATGAGCCTCAGATCTTTTATTCTGTTGTGCTTCTGTCTGCTTGCCTGTCGAGCTGTCATGAGAACATCTACCGTATTTTCCGGACTAGAAGCCGCTACTGTTTCCCACGCTGTGAACCATGCGGCTTATAATGAGGTGCAGCTTTAATCAACCAGAGGAGGATGATTGGGATGATTTTTTTTTCACAGTAAAACATCGCTGCTTGTTTTCCCAACTTCACCCCGGGATGGTGACAGCAACAAGGACAGCGACACTGACATCGGCACAGAAAAGGTATGTGACGAAGCTCTTCTGAGGCTGTTCAACTCCGACACTGAAGAAGAGGACTTCAGTGGTTTCAGTGCACAGGAGGACGATGAATAAACGAATCAATAACTTTTCTGTTTGTTTGATACTGATCAGTTCAGTTACGTTCAGTTAAACTTACTGTTAGTGATTTCATCTATTTTATTCTGTTTACTTGTCCTTTAGTTGTTTTATATTTATTTTTATTGTGTACTGTGTTCCTTCTCCTGTAAAGTGACCTTGGGTGACCTGAAAGGCACTTTTAAATAAAATGTATTATTATTATTATTAACTACGTTTTCAATTCAGTAGATATCGGCGGCTTTTAGCCCGGTGAGGCTTATATTGAGGTGCGCTATAGTCCAGAAATTACGGTAACCATGAAGGTATGCGCCTCCAAAAATAAAAAGGGGAAGGACGGCTAGTCAGGGTTATTTATAGACCATCGGTGGGGATGGGGTTGCAGCTGGTGTCAGAAGTATCTCTCTGATTAGTGCTTTATAAACCCTACTGTCCTCAAACCTATCAGCAACAATATTATGACTGTCTAATGAGGAGCAGGTGCTATAGCCTGTTGAGGCCTCCATCCAGCTGTCAGCATCAGAATGCAGGTTTTTCAACCAGACAACTGTAGATGTTATAATCAAACAGCAGGGCAACCAGGTCTTACCAAGTAATCCGATTTATTTTGGAAACGACAAGTTTTAATAGAGATGCACGTGAACCTGATCAGCCAAAGAAAAGGTGATTAATCCATCCAAGCTGCCTTAACACATTACTGCCTTGTTCTTGTTCTGACAGTTGTCTTTTCCTGGACAAGTCACCACTGAACACTGAGAACACGCAACAAAACATGGAGTACAAACGCTAGAATCGGCCATGTCGTATGCTGGTCCACACTGAAGTCCAGCTCCACCTGCTGGGACAGGGCGGTGCAGCGCGGATAGTCTCTGGTCATCTTCCACAGCTTTGAACCATGAAAGTGTAAACAAGCTGGTTGTCTTAAAGAACATATCAAAACTAGAGGGATCAGAGTGGGAGTACGGCACCAAGTCAAACATAAACTTCATCTGATGACAATCCTGGTTTTGATGGTGGGCGTACCCAGTGGAAGTAAATACAGGAAAGTGCTGATAAAAGACCTTTAGGGTCACGCGTCCCAACTGTCCTCCAGGTTTACCGACAGTCCCGACTTAAACTGGAGAAGTGATCAGCCTGCTGTGTGACTGTGTTCAGGGGCAGACTGGCCCTCTGTGGATTCTAGAGAATCACAGACCACTCTCCACGCACGCTTTCAACACCTGCCCCCCCCCCCCCCCCCTCAAAGCTCTTTCAGCTCCAGCACGCTAGGTGGCAGCACTGCACCTCTAAGTTGGATGCCAGCTATATTGGCTGCTGCCGCCAGGCAAGGAGAAGAAGAAGCTGAATTAGAGAGGAGGCAAAGGCAGTAGAAAAAACGATGCAAAACTCGGCTGCTAGTAAAAAAAAAAAAAAAAAAGCAAAGAAAAGGGTGAGGCTGAGAAAGCAAGAGAAAAATAATTGCGGGCATTACATGCTAAAGCCTCTAAATGTCACAAATTAACAGACATATTTAGCAGCAGGTTCACAGCAGTGAAGAAGGCAGGCCAAGCAGTAATGAGGGACAGAAAGACGCGCTGGTTCCACAGGCAGATCCCGGGGAAGTAAGCATGGAATATAAGAGGAGAAACATTTGCAAGGATTGATGTTAGAAATTCATGTTTAGGTTACAATTTAATTTTATGATAACAGCTAAATTTCAACACTTTAGCTGTAAAAGGCCACATGCACTGGGTAATAAGAAGCATGTTGTAGTTTTACGTAAAAAGGTTGGCAGTAGTGTTACAGTTAATGCTCACAAACTTTGAAAATCTTAAACACAGAAGTTACATTTGTAATGTTGCATTTTCATTTAGACGTGGTACTACTTGTGCAGTAAGATTAATAACCGCATAAATGATTAAGCTAATCAGTAATACAGCTTTTTATACAACATATAGTCAACATTAGCACCGTTGCTATAATTTGGATGGTTTGACCACATATTTTTGCTGCCGAATTTCCGCGCGCCGTTTACTTTGGGCCGGGCCTAGTCAGAGTCCAGGACTGTTTAGTCCCAGTCCGTCCCTAACTGTTAGGCATGTCATCATCCAGTCACTCATCACGTGAGGCCGAAACAGTAAATACATAATTGGTTGGTCACTATTCCGACTCGGGGTTTTAAACTTGAGTTGGTTTTCATCCAGAATCCGCTGTGGGCCCAGTTTTTCTTCTACAAATCAAACCCACACAGTAACGATCCGCCCATACTCACTCTCTTCAGAGGAACTGTGCTTCTGAACCAGTTGTAGTCAGGAGACACCTTTATCTCCTCCATCTGTGGACACGCAGAGAGACAAACGGTCACATCCAGCCCCGGAGACCGTGGTGTTGTTAGCTAACACAGCTAGCTCCGACACTTACCACAGAAATACACAGAGCACCTCTTCAGGCCGCTGCTGCTAGAGGAGGATTTGTCACCGTCTCCGGGAATGTTTATCCATTTCAGGGTAACATTTTCTTGAGCTGCTGCTTGGTCATATGACTCTTGTTTCTCACGCTTCCGCAAATTCCTCCGCTGCGCAGCCACCTCGCGCACCTACCTCGCGCACCTTCCTAGCTGCGGAACGGAAGAGACGCAGCCCCGACAAACCACGCCCCCGACAAATCACGCCCCCATGTGCCTGTTGAGCTCCCCCGAGCTCCCCTGGTGGTCAGAAAAGGGAAATATCTCAATAACGGCAGCCCTCCCAGCCAGAGAGCTTAAAGAGCAAGTAACGTCTAAATTAACTTTTTTTTGCTGATGAACTGTATAAATGAGTGTCTAATAGTGTTTTAAATGTGTGTATTCATTATTTTAGCATTTTGGTGCATTTTCTTTAAAAATTAAAAATTCTGCCTAAATACTACAGTATAGCTCCACCTTCAGCTTAAAACATAGAATTTGACTCATTTTGAATAAATTTTAGCGAATGGCTAAAGAGTAAGATACTACGTAAACCAGTAGAGTACTACGTAGCAGCTCTGTGTCAAAGTTATAAAGCAACGAGCGTCTCGGCCACGCCTTGTGGCGAGTTGGGAGTTGGATTTGCAAGCGAGTGTAGGAGGCTAGCCGTAGTTCAGCATTAGCATATAGCATTAGCATATCCTAGTCTTTAGCATAGCTTTTAGTGTTATACATACTTATTTACATACTTGGCTGTTGGATATTGTAGTTTAGTTAGTGTTTGGCTGTTAGTGTAATTAGGAAAGTAGTTCGGGTTTAGTGCTCCATATCGTGTTAGCATGGTGAGATGGTGTAGTGTAGTATGGTTGCGGTAGCTCTGTGGGGTTGCACTCCTTTCCGCTGGACTCCCGCCTGGTGCTGTAGTTTACAACCAGCATTTTACCCGCGATTCTGCACGTCTCCGTTTGAAGAGGGAGGCTGTGCCCACCGTGGCTCTTCCGCGATTTAGGTGCAGCCCGCCGACTCTGCTCCCCCACCACGGCGGGCTCCAGTCTGAGGTGAGTCAGCTAAATAAAGTTTTAACGTCTTCTAAAGACAATTCCCTACCTAAATGCAAAGTCCGAGAGACGTGGTTCACTTCCTTTAGCTAGTCAGTCGGTAATTCTGCAACAGTGTCTCTAACTAACGCAGCACTAGTTGACAGACAGCATTACAGTGTGAAATCCAGCTTGTGACCCGGTTCTGTGAGGAATTCTGTTCAGGAGGTCGCATTTCAGGCTCTCCACATCATATGTGACTGACTTTTACGTTATAACAACGATCACACACTAGGAATGTTAGAAAGCACCTTTATAGGACAGTTTCTTTTGTATTTTATCTGACTTTATAAACTCCCAACAACAATGTGCTTCTATTTTTTTTTCAGGCTAAATCTACCCAAGACACTGGCTGTCAGACTGATTTAGCTGCAAGAATGCACTTGTCCAGGCTGATGTGAAGCTTTACCGGCGTAGCAAAGGTGAATTATTTTTAATAATCTTCTATGTAAACATTTTATTATTACCTTCTAGTTTTAATTTGTTTTACAGATTATTGTTACACATGATTTTATGCTCTTTTAAACATTTATAAATGTGCTGCTTCTTTGTTTTTGTACATAGCCAGCCAGAAGAGCTCACAGCCTCAGTGTGTCTTGTGACACGGGGACCTTGATGGAAATTCATCTTCCAGAAAGTCGCAGAGCAGCGTCTACACCCCCTGAAAAGACCACGATGTGAGGTGTCTGCTGTTGATTCCAGCTTCCACCTCAGTGACAGTGCAAGCTCAGTGAACTGTTCAAGGTAAAAAAATTTCAAAATTTCAAAATTTTTAAGATATTAATTAAATAAGTATGTGATTACATCATGACATCATGAAGGAGGCTACTGATTCTGGCCCTGTGACACTTGGTGGTGACGTGTGAGCTGATTCACCTGGTAAATAACTTTTACATTAAATATTTTGTTTTTGCTATCAAAAGTAAATTAACTAATAACCTGCATTATTGCAGGACACTCAGCAAAATATGGACTCTACACCATGAGGCAGGCACACGTTAATACTTATAAGAGCACATAAGGTGAGCAACACCACATATTATTGTACACTGTCCTGAATTTGTTTTCTTTCTGCATCTCATCATTAGCCTGGCTGATCACCTGATAACTCCTGTCATCTGGTTGTGACAGCATGAGGATGTCCTCACACACCTGTAACCTATCAGCTCATCTGGCAGAAAAGAGAGAGAAGAGACAACACCACATCTCCTGTTCCTGGAAAGCCTTCAGCCATCCTTCGATGACTGAGAACCTCCTTCAGCTCGGTCTCCTGTCTGCCTACAATTATTATAATAAATATTGTGTTTGACAAGTTTTTTGTGCTGCCAAATATCTCATTTTGATTCCAGTTTTGATATTTTAATGGATATTTATAAATTACATTAATTGAATTATCACATTGTCGCATGTTTAACTAGCTCTATTGTGATGAATTAAACTAGCACCTCACTGTTAAAAGCTCGTTTTAATTTCAAGCATGTTTAAGTATTTATGGACATGAACAAAAATAGGAAATCTATCAATTGAGATTTATTTAATTAATATAACAAATAAGGGGGCAAGAGTCATTGAAAGGCACATTCTTCTGGAAGCTCCTGATCCTGACGACACCAGCAGAGGAGACCACCTGCAGACACCAGAGACCACCTGCAGACACCAGAGGACCTAGAACCGAGAGAGCAGCTGTTATTAGTAAATAAATAAAGAAATCAGGGCAGTTTTAGTGGGCTGAACACATTACAGAATAATTTTCTCATGGGATATTTTCATAACTTTATGCAGCAGACTGTAACTTGAGCCCAAGGCTCCTGGAGACCTGCTATCCAGCACGTTTCAGTGGTTTTCCTGCTTTAACAGGTTAGATTAGCTGTTAAGCAGCTCAGCTATTTGTTGCTGATTAAAGCCAGGTGTGTTGAAGCAGATAAACCTCTAACACATGCTGAATACTAGCTCTAGGGCCGTGGAGACAAACCCTGCAGCTAATCTGATGCTATGGCTAACGGCTACTTACGTTCAGAGATGGTTCTGTTGGGTCGGTTCCTGTAGTTTCAGGCAACTCACAAGCTCAAAACAATAAGGCTCAGGTCCGCTTGTCTCCTCCAAATAGACTTGGTCCCTTTCTTCTCGAGTGTCTGTGTAAGGAGGGGGAGAAACGTCCTCCACTTCTAATGACTGCTCAGAGTGAAGGGAGCTAGCATCGTCAAGTTAGCCGTCGTCGTCGTCACTGCCGCGGCTCCGCCCTCTCGGTCCTCCAGGTAACGTCTACTAATGTTGCAGTTTTTAAAATTGATACGTGGGTGGAGTAAGACTCTGAGGGGGGAGTGACAACTTCTTTAAACCTGGGTCGGATCCAGGGCGCAGCAGCCCGCCACAGGCTCCAGCAGAGGAGATTGGGGTTTGATTCATGTCATTAAACGCCTTCCAATGCGAACAATACAATTGAAAGAATACGTTTATACAGAAGTAGTAACAATGTAATTAAACAGACAGGACTCCAGGTTTAAATATGAATGTATGGAATTTTTTTCTTGCATACACACTTTTTTAGGGCGACGGTGGCACAGGAGTTAAGTGCTCGCCCCGTAATCGGAAGGTTGCCGGTTCGAGCCCCGCTCAGTCTGTCGCTGTCGTTGTGTCCTTGGGCAAGACATTTAACCCACGTTGCCTGCTGGTGGTGGTCGGAGGGACCGGTGGCGCCAGTGCTCGGCAGCCTCGCCTCTGTCAGTGCGCCCCAGGGCAGCTGTGGCTACATCGTAGCTCATCCCCACCAGTGTGTGAATGTGTGTGTGAATGGGTGAATGACTGATTGTGTTGTAAAGCGCCTTGGGGGGTTCCAGGACTCTAGAAGGCGCTATATCAAATACAGGCCATTTATGGCCATCCCCAGTGGGATTATAAAACACCGACACCACCAACAAATAATCAGTTGCTGGACAATAGGCACAACATACCTATGCTTATTTAAGTTAGCAGGTGAGTAATGTATGTGCAAGTGTTTATTTTAAATGCAATAAAATTAAATATCAGAAAAAGTAATTAGTGGTAATCGTTTTATTAACCCCTTAAGCCCACTAGCCTCCATTTATGTGGGAGCACGCCTCCTACAGCAACATTTAACTTTCAACTGTTTGTTATTACAGGCACTAACAATAGGTCTAAGTCAATTCGAGTGAGTAGTTAATATTTATGTTACTATTTATGATTTTGTTATTGCTTCTTTACAGTGAAAAGCTGCTGATGTGTAATTTTTAGGCATATGTACATGTGTATATATGCATTTCATACATTCTGTTAACAGGAATAATTGCTGGCCCTTTGACACAAAATGTATTGATTTAGAAATTACTAAAATATTTTGAATTAAGTATACAATTGACAAGACTAGTAAACTGATATTGACCATACACTAATCTTTAAAAAAATATGCTGTAAACACGAAAGCAGAAAAGTTTTGCTTTAGAAAAAAAGTTCTGACAAATGAAATAACCAGCAACAGCTTTTATTGGCCTTACAAATACCTTCCAAAAAATATAATAAAACATGTCAACACAATACTACAACCTCTTCAAAAATTCAGATGAGTCCAGAGCTTTTCTGAGTTTCTCCGTGTATATGAGCAGTTTCTGTTTAGCCTCCTTGCTCTTGTTTTTTTCCATGGCATTAGGACATCAGCTGCCTCTCACTAATGAGACAAAGATAAATAGCGTTTAGTAAGAATGACATTCACACCTAGAGGCTGTCATAAACAATGTGTAAACAATATATATAGGCATTAGCACTGTTCTTGTGTTTGTAGAATACCTCCAGTCATACTGCAGCCCACTGCCGTACATTTCTGTGGCTTTGTCCGTCAACATTCACGGACAGCTGAAAGCACATGGATGGTTGCCTGAGTAGTGACGTGAACAAAAGGACATCTTTCATGTAGACATTAGTCTGTCATGTTGCAGGTAACAAGATATTAACCAGGAGTTATAGACTGACAACAGTAATGCTACAAAATATTTTCATGTGATACATAAACATTTTCAGAACGTACCTCTGGCAGAAGCACATCCATCATGAATGCCACTTGATTGTGACATCTGGTTGTCTGTGCTTCAACCAGGCTAGTCAAGAAGCCCATCACTCTGTCCAGCTGCTCATCCTCCTCAAAGAAAATGTCCACCCTGCCCTTTGATGTAGCCCAGGTGGATGACACTTTTCCTGCGATGATTGCCTGTAAATAGAGATATTTTTGGAGGATGCTCAAAGTAAATGTCCAAACACTAGGTTAGCAGAAAATGTTTCACTTGAATAATTCATGAGTCATGTTTTGACTGAAATTAGTCACAGTGTGCAAATTTAATTATACACTTAAAACTCACTTCCAGATGTAGCAGTAGGCCTTTATCCTGAGCGATAAATGATATAAGATCACTGCTGACTCTTCTTTGGTCTTCAGCTTGCCGAGCCCTTTCCTAAAATTAGATTAAAAAAACATTTAGAATCTTAACAGAATTATTCTGGTTAAGCAGATTAAATAAGATAAGTTGTTTCTTGGTCCTTTGCATGTCCTTACCACAAGCCTGTCGTACGACACGTCTTTACTCAGGATCCCAACATCTCTGGTTGTGGTGACCACTTTGTGTTGGTCCATGCCGTCATTGTCCTTAATCAAGACACACAAAAACATGACTTCATGCACAGCAGTTAAAATTAATTTTATTTTGTTGTCATGCAATAATCTTCACTCATATTCACCTGGTCTCTGGGTGGAAGGCTGTAAGGTGTCTTAACATACACATGGTCGTGTCCTGTGGACTCGGAGGAAAGCAAATAATTGTATCAGTTTGTTTTACAGTTATCCAAAGAGGATTGACATTTGCACTTATTATACCACCACCATTGAAAGTTGACAACATATCAAACTTTCTGCTTTTTAAAATCAACAAATCAACCAAAACACATTGGAAAAGCTAAATACAACAACTGATAATTGTGGGACTACTGCCGTGTCAGAATCATTCCATCCCTGAAAGTGGTGACCTATTTTCAAACAGGCAGGAGTAAGGTCTTCACTGACCATGGTGCTGCTTTCATGTTTTCTTTTTCTTTTTATCCTGAATACGAAACGTTACCGTCAGGCTAATATTTACTGGATGCTATACACGCAACTACTTGTCAAAAAAACTGTAATACATGTAAATGTTGACATGTAAAAATATATCTGAATGGATTTTAAGGGAATTTTCTGTTACATGTTTTAACACATTTTACACGTCTGAGGGCGACAATTTTTGGCCCACCACATTGCCGTCGTGAGTTTGCTGCTTATTAGATGAGGAGTCATAAACGGTCAAATAAATAGCCTATTGTTACGTTTATTTTGGCCAAAAGGCTTGCATGTAGCCCATTAAAAATTATATTAAAAATATTTTGCATCCATGACATCTTCCCCCACTGCCAATAATGCTTAATTTTATATTAAAGTGTTTCAGAAAAAAATCACTAATGCGCTATCTATCCAACTATGTCTTAAACGTTCAAATGTAAAGTAAAAAATCTTCGCAAGTTGTAAAAATATAAATCTGTCTTTACCTGAACCGTCATTTCCATCTGGTGTTGCAATACGCATGCGAGTTCTCTTGTCTTCGAACATGCAGGCATCTTTTGTAGGGGCCATAGGGGCGTGTTTTGTCAGGGGCGTGGTCTGTCAGGGCGCGGTTTGTCGGGGCTGCGTCTGCAGCAAGGTATTATTGGAAAGGAAGGCAGAATGGGGCGGGGCTTGTAAAGATTTTATTTATTTTTTTATTGATGAAAATAGCATTTACAAAACAATTCAGGAACTTTACAATTTTATAATAGTTTCAGGCAGGGGAGGACTGGGACCAAAATTCGGCCCTGGCATTTTTACGAATCGTCGGCCCTCCCCATTGAGAGAAAGCTGTGGGTGGGGGGTGTTGCCACCCGCGGACTCGTGAATGTGAGGTCTAATATAGACTGGGACAGTTAAATTACAAGCAGGGCCAGACCGCTGCGACCGGGAGCCCTGGTCTTCCAGATCAGCTCATTCTCCACGGGCGGACATCAGCGGGACATTAGCTACATGCTAACGCGGTAAAACAACTCCTGCGTCATCGCTCTACCGCGTTTTTCTTGCCAAAAACGCCTGGACAAACTCTGTTAGCTTCGGGTTACCATGTAGCTAATGTTCTGCAGATCACCTACTGTGGAGTAGTGACGGCGCACGCTGGGCAAGCAGCCCACTTGGCTAAGCGGCTCATCGGGACAGTGCCAGAATGCCAGATAGGCCAGTCCACCCCTGCCTGTGTCCTATTCCCCACGCACCTGCTCCTCGTCTTCTATCACCCAGCCCCGTGTATATAAAACCCTGTCTGTGTCTCTCAGTGTTTGTCTGTTCATTGTCGTTGCCAGTGTTGTTCTGTTCCTCCTCGTGAAACTCTAGGTTTTGCTCATCAAAGAGCTTTTTGTTTTTGTCCGTCGAGTTACTGACTTTCGGCTTGGCTTCCTGCCCTTTTTGGATTTTTGAATTTTGGACTTTCTTCCTAAATAAAGGATTTTACTTTGATTTTGCTCCTACCTTGGGTCATTCTGGGTTTCTGCATCTTGGGTCCTAACCTCCTCCTGACTCAAACGTGACAGAGGAACATTCTCGTTAGTCTCTTATTCATGAAGCGGAGATTGCGTGCAGTTGTGCGTACTCCATGTTTGATAGGTCACAAACCTACTTGGCGTAAGTACATTTTTTTTGCTGGGCTTAAGTACGGGTTTAGTAAGGATTCTACGCCATGCTTGATAAAAGAGACCCCTGACCTGTATTGGAATGTTTACTATGTGAAGTAACTTGAGATGACTCTGGTCGTGATTTGGCGCTTTATAAATAAACTTGAATTCAATTAAACTACAATCATCTGGGCATGAATGTGCTTCTAGTGGAACTAAAGCTTGTTGTTAGCAGCTCACCTGAGGCCTCATTTATCAACCGTACTTACGCACAGATCTGTGCGTATTTCGTGCGTAGGCATGAATTTACGCATTGTGTGGTATTTACCAATTTGTACCTGTGCATGAACTCTTCCTAAATATCAGAACAGCTCTGCGTAGGAGCAGCATCTAGTGGTAGAAAGGGTAAACTGCAGTACTGAAGATCTCAGTCACCCATGCGTGCTCCTCATCCACAAATTATATTTACCCAGTATGTAGTTGGAAAAACGGCTTTAGTGCATTATTGGTGCTAAAACTAATAAAAGACACATGTGACTGATGGGAATCTGACATTATATCATGACTAATCTGTGTTATTTGAGAATTTAACAGAGCGTGAACACTGGAGG